ATATATATATATATATATTATGTTTTCAAACGTGTACCTTCTACGTATAGAAATCTGTAAATAAACTAAATATTATCAATTTGAGTGTGGAGGTGTGCTTTCCATGGAACCTAGATCACTACATCGAATCGTGATACACACGGAAACAAACTCAACGAGACGGAGTTGGGAAAGAACTTCACTATCGTGTCTAAATCGATTAGGAGTCTCACTAATTATTATCAAGTAATATTGTGATAAAAAAAAAAAAAAACAGTTCCTTATTTCCCGAACATATCTAAATTACAGAAATTTTCATAAACGTAAAGATTTTTATATTCCTTATGATCGTGTCTAAATCGATTAGGAGTCTCACTAATTATTATCAAGTAATATTTTAATTAAGAGAATTAAAAACAGTTATGTATTATTTATAAAGAGAAAATTCTAATAAGTCTTAAAATATCATTTTATTTTTAAGCTTTTGCATATACAGTGGAACCTCGGTATACGACCTTAATCCGTTCCTGGTGCTTCGACTTATACCGAATAGGACGTATACCAAACCAACCTTTTCCATAAGAAGTAATGTAAAAATGATTAATCCGTTCTCATGTAAAAAAAAATGGCTGGCTTTAAACACCTCCGTTTCCTCGTTAGTTTCTGCTTGATTTTTCATGAGATCAGCATGTATCCTTTTAACTTTCTCGCAAATAATTTCTTCCGATACGCTGTCGCCGGCCGTGTTTTTCAGTTATCCAAAGCAAAAGCAATTTCTCGACATGATCTAATGTCGTCGATCTCTGTTTAGAAATTGATTTAACTCCTTTCGCAACGTTAGCAGATTTAATAATGTCTTTATTTTTCACGATTGTCGATATCGTCGTTCTCGGAATACGGAATGCAACAGTTAAATTTCGAACACGCGTGCCACCTTCGTATTTCTCAACAATCTCTTTTTTCAGTTCCGTTGTGATTCTAGTCATTTTTTTATTTTTCTGTTGCCCTTTTGCAATTCATGATTAATAAAAATAATAAAATGTTACTTACAAATTAAAATCAGAAGAA